CGTACCCCCCAGCCACAGAGGGGGGGGCAAGGGGGGGGGGGGGGGGGATCCCTGCGAGGAATTGTGATTGATAGTCACCACTCTCTGCTGGGAGAAGATCAGTAACTGAGCATTCAGTGGTATGTGATCACTCAGCTCTCGAGCAATAGAGCCCACATGTGACAGCTTCAGTATCACATGTCGGCTCTAATTATGGGTATGAGTGTATTTCACTCCTACCATAATTCCCCTTTAAATCTGGACCTGAAGTACAGCTTAGAAAATGAAAGGTTACAGCTAATTTGTTGACCAGGCCAAGAACCCTAGTTTACTTTTCCTTGATTGTCCCAAAATATAGTACATTACCTGTTCCTTTCTTGCATGTAAAGGGCAGATGGTAATTGCAGGGCACATCATTCCACTCTCCTCTCTCATGCCAAATCATCACCACACAGTCTTCTCCTGTGGCAAAGAAATTATCTGGCTGGTTTGGCCTCCAGTTTTCATATTGCTAGTAGCCAAAAACAAAGAAACATTTTAGTATGTTGGAATGTATTTTTGTTGTTGTTCCTATTATAGCTTATAATAGATTATAGCATAAATGAATTGTATACAACTATACAATCTTCACACACATAGCAGACACATGGCAAATAAAAAGAGCCATTTGCCAGCATTTTGTTCTTATGTTGCAGTTATATCGGTGTATCAATAAAGCTTTCCAACATGTCAATTCAAATTCAGCACATTGTCATTATCATTACTTACAACACTATTGCTAGAGGATGTTTATGGATTTTTATGCCAAGTTGTCTGGTTGAATGGATTGAAAGTGTATGTAAACCCTAGCAATGGAGTTCTACTATTTAGTCCCATTGGTATGTTTAATATATCATTTAAAACATTTTGTTATATGTGTTTGATAAGTTTAAAAAAACCAAAAACCCTGTTGATCTTGCCAGAAATCTTGAGAGCTGATGAATTCCTGACTGTTGTGAATTACATTGTTCTCTGGAAACTACTGAACCATATACTTCTAAGTTATGGACAACAGGAGAGTGTGGTGTTTGGTAGTTTTATCTTGTTTCTTTTGTCCTGATACAGAGGGTAAGTGACTGTTGTTATTCTAGGGGAGAAAGTGTGTTACTGGCAGAATTGTCAGATGGAAAAAAAAGGAAAAAAGCTTGAGGAAAAAACTAATGCAGCCACTTGTAAGCTGCAACATATAACATTTTTGTTTTTGGGTTTAGATATGCTTTAATGTGGAAAAGTTACATTCCATCATGGGAGAGGATAAATAGATCTAGCAATTCTAATCTAATTTTTGCTGCACATTCCAAACCATATTGGCTTCAGAATTGATAGGTATGCAATAATAAAGTGACATTAAAGGATACATCCCCCCTCCCCCCCCCCAATTCTGGTGTAAGGACTTAACTAAATGATGCCTCTTGATCCGATCATCTTCTTCTTTCCTGTAGTTTTCAGGAGTCCCTCCAGCGCTGGTGCTGTTCTCTGATCCAGCGCTGACTCCTCTCTTCCTGGCACTTCCTGTCCCATGGAGTCTGTGTGGGTGCATGCTGCCGGGCTCCATGCATTGACTTACCCTGTGTCTCTCCTCGTCTTCCGGCCGAAGATCTCTACTGCGCACGCACCCGCCCTGTGATCCTTGGCGGCCGCCCAAGAATCTTCAGATCTTCGGACAGGAGCGCATGGCTGTGACACAGGTAAGTTATTACCTTTTTTGTGACTTTTTTTCAGTTTTTGCATATATCTACTGGTTTCTAGCAGTAGAATTATGCAAAACCCCCCGAGGGTTTAATTATTCTTTAAGCTAAGACATGTAAGCAACCAATGAGCTCCCAGGTAATGGCATTGCATTGAAGACTGCCCATCACCTGAAGCTGGGGAAGAGAAAAAAGATACCACTAGTCATGTGGCCTTGTGGAAGACAATTGGAATTATTTAGAAATGTATGATTGGTTGTTTTTATTAGGTGCAGGAAAGGGTTTACCATTAGGATGGGCTTTAGAACTTACAATCTGGGAAGAGTGTTCTCTTTCTTGCGAACATAATAAAATAAACTGCCTCGAGGAAGGAGTTGCTGATAGAAGGTAATGTAACGAGTCTGGGAACCGCGAGCCGCTTGCTTCCCAGCCTGGAACGCATCGGCCGCATCATACTGCGCGCTTCATTTCCGGTGGTGGCGCTCCTATGCGTTCCAGGGTGGAGCGCGGAAGTGTCAGCACACTGCAAAGCGCCACTTCCGCGTCCACGGACTATTTAAGGAGCTCCAGAACGAAGGTAGGGTGTTCCATTATTGGGTTCTATGCCCCAACAAACCAGGAGCCTCACCCTCTCTCCTACCTGCGACAGCATCTACTACCCTGGATCAACACTGCATGGGACACTCCACCAACTCTGAGAACACCAGGGGATCCTACTACTAAGAGCAAGTACTAGTGTTGTGGGGGATTCCTATCTTGTCCATTGACACTCTCTCTCTGCCGTTCAGTTTGTTTTCAATTGGAACTGTACTGTGTTTGATACTGCTTGGTAGCAGGCTGTTACCTATTCCAGTTAAAGTATTACCATTCATTTGCCTTTCTACGTTTAGACTGTCTAAGTGGATTTCCTTATACCTACCTTACTTACAAGATACCTAACTAGCTTATGATATTAATAAGCAGTACTAGGTCTTCCGTTATTGTTTTTATTTTGTGGTATATGATGCAAGAATCCCAAACTCTTTGTTTATAAGGGAGAGAGACGCCTGGGATTCATGACTGATTGCCACACCTGGAACCAAAGAAGGATTTGGTCCGCAGCTGTGATCCAATATAGCCTCAGAACTACAAGGGAGCATTACAGGTAAACACATTGTTCACTGGTTGATTATCACAAATTTTTAACTTTATGTATACAAGGATGTTATTTTCACGGAGTGTTCCTTTACTTTGGTAGTTTAAATAAAAATGTTTTTAAATATCTGCTACTCAAACTTGCCAACTTTTACTGCCTTATTGTGTGTACACCAAGCAGTGAAGAGCAAGTACAGGGATTTCCTGGGCATATACGAGCTGTCTTGAAAGGAAAAGCCACTCACAATTCTGAGTTGAGGTAAGCAGAGAATTCGCTAAGTATTCTGAGATTTCTTCTGATATCATTTTACCTTAGCACATTCCATTGCTTCTGAGATGGAGAGCTATTTTGAAATGTTTGTTTTTAAATGTCATGATATGGAGACATAACATAGGCATGAATGGGAGGGGGGGATTTTGAAGAGCCAGGCTGGCTACTAATGTATTAATTGCAATTTACAAAGAACTTCTCTGTCCCCAGTGTTTTTTTGTTACAGTAGAATAAAGCACTGGTTTATTGGTCATAACAGAGTTAAGCAACAAACTCATAGATTAAAAATCCTGAGTGGCAGGTGTGTTGATGACAGTACAGGCATTGGCCGGAGGGGTATTGGGTGGTTAGGCGCAGTGGTGAGGGTGAATAGTATGTAGGTTCAGTGGTGCAAGTGAGGTATAAATTAGTGCTGATGGGTGTTGAGGGCGGGGTAGGGAGGGGGTTTTGGGTTGCCAGAGTGTTGAGAGATAGGATGGGAATGTGTGCAGGCACAATAGTAGCTGGAGAGTTAATTGCCGGTAAAGAACCTTGAGTGGGTGTAGGGTGGGGTGTTTGCAGAGTAGTGAGAGAGCATAGAAGGAGTGTAGTGCTGGCACACTGGGGATGTGTGTGTGTGTGTGTGTGGGTAAGCGCTGGTATGGTGAGAGGAAGGCTGCAAAGTGGTAAGGTGGATTGGGTGTTGGCAGAGTGGTGATTAAAGGGGCTAGGTCTGGCAGAGTAGGTCTTCTCATGCCTGTCATCCTCAGTGCAAATTTGTGTAAAGCTAGATAGACCCTTTGAGCAGGGGCCCAGTTGCAAGAAATACATCAGTTGCCACTGTTCCTACACTACTGTTTTGCCACAGGTGAACTTAAAGTGACATTAAACCCTCAGATTTTTTAACATAAACCAATACTGTAATGTGTGCCTTACTGTAATCCATGGTAGTTTTCCTTCTCTTTGATGCTCTTCCTTTTAAATCCTCATGTCTTCTCATGCTTGGGGAGAACTCCCCTTTTCAGCTCAGGGCCTCTTCCTTGGTAACTGATTTCAGCAGTACTTGTGACAAATAATTGCAGGGTTATTCACAAAAGGGTGACGAGTTTGGAGAAGGCAGGAGAAGTGAACAATCTAGGTCAACAAAGGTGAACTAGAAAGTGAGCTGAATTAGAGAATGTTTCCAAATCAGCTATTTTGGCCTAGGTTGTTCAATTCTCCTGCCTTCTCCAAACTATTCACCCTTTTGTGAATAGCCCTGTTAGTTTTTATCAATGAACAGAGGTGTCCCCTGCAGATTTTTTAACATAAACCAATACTGTAATGTGTGCCTTACTGTAATCCATGGTAGTTTTCCTTCTCATGCTTGGGGAGAACTCCCCTTTTCAGCTCAGGGCCTCTTCCTGTAGTGCTGGCTCAGGTTACAAACCTATACAAACCTATACACAGACACCGTGTATCGATTCCTGAGACAAGGCAGTCTGCTGCAAAACAGAAGTTCTGCCCAGCATGAGAACAGATACAGATTTAAAAGGAAGAGCAGCAAAGAGAAGGGAAACAACCATGTATTACAGTAAGGCACACATTACAGTATTGGTTTATGTTAAACAATCTGAGGGTTTAATGTCACTTTAAAGTCTCTTTTACACAGGACAGTTATAGATCATCAAATTTGTTTTTTATGCAAACATTTATATTTTCTTTTGCTTCCTGAACGATCTGGAAGTTTGCCAGTACTGATGTGGAAATGTAAGGACAATAAAATTAACCACAGCAGCACTTTAAATCGTCTTGCTCCACAAATGTGCACACCACTGGCAATATCAGCTGCCAAATACCTATATACTGTATGTATGGAGGAGCACTTCAGCTGAGGCAGGGAAAGAAAATTATCATTTCAATTCCTGTATGCTTAATGTTTTGTATATAAACACATGTGATTTATAACATAGCATAAAGAGCATGGATTTACTAAAAATAATAATTATAAGCTTTTCCTAGTTTTGTGAAATTACCCCAATCAATCATGATTTCTGATTGGTTTATAAAGTCATTTAAAACAAGCTTGGTAACTGATTTCAGCAGTACTTGTGACAAATAATTGCAGGGTTATTCACAAAAGGGTGACGAGTTTGGAGAAGGCAGGAGAAGTGAACAATCTAGGTCAACAAAGGTGAACTAGAAAGTGAGCTGAATTAGAGAATGTTTCCAAATCAGCTATTTTGGCCTAGGTTGTTCAATTCTCCTGCCTTCTCCAAACTATTCACCCTTTTGTCCCCTGCACGCCATACAGCAATCCGGACCTATTGATGCTTGAAATAGCAATGGTGCTTGCAGTGATGTCCACAGATGGCACCATGCAAATCTAGATATAATAGTAATGAAGATCACCAGCACTGG